TTTCTTGTCCTAGCTCTGCTGCCATGGGATCGATTTTCGAAACTTACAAAACTTTTTTGTCCTTGGTGCAATAGTAATGTAGAAATTTCATCAAAATCCGAGCGGTAATTTCCAAGTTATACAGGGTGATTCACAAGTCGTGACCAGCAATGGGACATCATATACAGGATCGCCTGTAGCAATGTAAGAATTTTGCCTCAAGGGCTTTATTAAAAAGATACGGGGTGTTGAAGTTTAAAAATAAAACACAGTTTTGTTAATATTTTCAAAACCGTCAACTGGAACGAACTAAAATTTGGTATGTGGATTTACCTAAGTATTGTCCACATTCAGAAGTCTTTACTTAAGATCAACGTGCACCAGTGGCGAAGATACGGGGCATTAGTGGTATTATTTTTCCAAATAAAAATAGTACGCCACTGGTTTTTTTTTTCGAATCGCGCAATTTTTCGAACTTTACCTTCGATTTGCAACAAATAATTACTCTTGTGTTTTTCCAAGAGTACATTGCTTTCGTAAAAATAAAAAGAACAAATTAGTATTTCTGCAAAATTTGTTGTGGCTTGAATTTGATGGAAATCATTATCTAATCTTTCTTGTAACTGATCAACATTTTCGCTACACCTCGTCGCTGGATTGCAGACATTGCACATTTTGCCGATCGTAACGATGTAAAGCTTCTCGATTCAAAATGTTCCACGCAAGACTTTGGTAACAGCTGCAATCCGCCTAGGACTTGTACTAATATCATTCAACGCCAAATTGATACTGGGCAGCATGGCCTCTAACTCCGGGAAGTTTGGCAATTCCATATTGTCTTAGAAATTAACGCGTAAAGACCTTTGGAGTAGGTTGGCCTCTGTTATGAAATCTACGTTGATAATCCCGAGGAGCCGCTAAAGCATTTCCATTACAGAACCCGTACACAAGTTCATTCCAGTCGACGGTTTTGAAGATATTAAAAAAACCCTATCTTTGCCCTCGAGGAAATATATATATATATATATATATATATATATATATATATATATAGAAGCCCCCTTCCCCTTCCCCTTAAAATGCGGTCCTGTGTATGATGTTTCATTTTTGGTCACGACTTGTGAATCACCCTGTATACAGGCCAAGCATTAGCGGATAAACAGACAGATGAACAGACCATTTTTGTTGATATAACAGCCAAAAAACAGAAATTATCCGCGATTACAATAGTCCAGTATTTCCGAAGATATAATATAAGAACATTTTTTCCTTAACAATTATTCGTCCTATAGCTAAAAATTTAAGCCATTGCGGACGTACGCTCATTTAAACCTTTTTTCATAAAATTATTTGGAAAGTCATTGAGGAGCGCCCTGTATGCAATCGTACAATTGCAGAGAATGGTTTCCATTTCCTCGCCGTACCTAAAAATAGGGTTCCTAAGATCCGCCATCGCTACGATTTCCTTATAAAGCTGCAACATATATTAGAACGAAATTGCATTCTTATCATCGCTGATGTAAGAATTTACAACCGCACGTCCAGAATGTAGTACTTGTCCGCGTACATGCGTGTTTCATCTCATGTATCATTTCAAAAATGCTATCGAGATATTCATTAAACAGAAAATATTAGCCACTCCGACCGCATACTTAACGTCGGTTTATATCAGCACTCTCATTACTAACTTTGTTATTAATTGGATTTAGTTCTACGCACAAGTTACATAAATATATGCATATTTTGTTCATATCACAAGTTTGACATCCGCGACATGTTATTTCATTTTTACTTATTAGATACCCACCACATATTAATTAGTAATCCCTGTCACGAGCTTTTTTATGTTTCATTGGAATGTTCGGAATAATTATTTGCTTATCGTAGGCAAAGAGTAACAAAACAAGAAATTTTGCATCAGGAAGACTGAATCGTGCTTTTTGATATCATATTACGCTATCATCGTATGTTGAATATATTTATCGATCCTCGCTAAATATTGTAGTAATGTTACAGATTCCTCTATTTTGTCTGTAGTATATGTTATATAGCAAAATATTTAAAAAAAATGGAAAGACTAAAATTTGCTGAATTTCTAGTTCACGGTCAACGCATAGTATTTAGTAATAATAGAAATAATGAAACAAATTTCTAAATAATGTTTGTTATAAATGAAATAAATTCGTGCTATATCAAGATCAAAAAGCCGCCTAAAATCAATATTTTAACGACATTCTGAAAGTCTGCAAGAGGTTAACTTAAAAGTTTTAAATAAGGTGAATGTACTACCCAAATTAAATACAGAAAAGTGTTTGATTATACGAATAACTGTATCCAAATAATAGGAAAATCATGTTTGTGATACCGTATGCGACATTTCAATTATGAAATATCAATTTCTTACTTACCTATGTTTCAATGAACAATCAAAGTTATGAGTGGAGTCCTTTGAGCTAATTTTGTACTTATAGTTTGTGAAAACTCCGCCATTTGACGCCTATTTTTTGATGGGAAAAATCTCTTTGATATTGGTTGATGTGGATATACTATAACGGGTAAACGGTATTGCATGTCGCAAAATATTTTCTGGTGTTAGATATATTGACTGGAGCTTTTACGAGTATGGCCTAAACTTAAAAAAAAAAAGGAGCGTAGTATAGTAGATAGACTGCAGTATTTTCAGAAATCTTTGCACTGGTGGTCAAGTTTTTGGCAAACATTTTTTACTTGTCAAGACATCCAAATGACTTATTGCATGGCTTTTAGGCTTCCAATCATTTTTTGATTTTAGCTCATAGCTCATAAGATTTTAGTTTGCTCACGGCATCCACTACATTTTAACGATTGATATACAATTTATTTTTACTGAAATTTATTTCATATCATATCTATTCAGAAAATGTTTGGATTTGCGTTTGCGTTCACCATCATCATTTAAACTGATTTTATTTGTCTCAAAAAGTTTTTCTTCTTCAAGCCCGATCACAAAAGAGAGGTGTTATTTCAATGTGTGTATGAGTGCATGCGGATTCATTGCTCCGAGAAAAACCTATTTTGATTTTCCATTCATTATTTGAAAGATAACTTGATCAATAGCGTCCTTCAAACCAAATCAAATCATTTATTCATGCAAGATGCAGTCATTGAATGAGCACATGTCATTTTGGATACATACTTTCCGATGCATTCACAGATACGTTTTAAAAACTCTTAAAAAGTAAAGTCACTGTTAAAGTTATTTAACACTTCGTGATTTAGTCTTCACAAAGCACATTATGGGTTCCATGTTCCATTACATAACACATACAGATATACAGGGTGACGGGAAAATAGATGCGGAGCCGCTGGGGGGAGATAGTACAAGCCAATCTGAGTCGATTTTACTATAGAAACTACTGTCCGAAAATTATCCGTTTTCGAATTATACTAATTTTTAAGATTTCATAAAATTAACGTCCTTTATACGTTAATCATAAAACTTGATAATTGGGTGTTTCATTTGATTTTTTGTTGGTTTTACAAGAAGAATATTCTAAAATACGAAAATTGATACTCAAATGTACAGTATTGACGTTATCTCATGCAGTAAGCTTCAAAATCGTTCGATTTTTGTTAAAAAAATCTGCGTTAATCTCTAAAGCTTCAGTTTATTAGAAAAAGTCGCATACAAATTTTTCGTTACAAAATAATTAGAATACATCTACGTTTCATTACCTTTCAAATGAGGTATAAAAATCACAAATCGATTAAGAGTTGGCAAAAATATGACTATTATAAGAATAGGAAGGAAAAGTAATAAAAATACTACACTTACAAAATCATACCTTAATACAGCCTAATTTGTTTGAATCTACAGTTTGTTCTTTTTATAATACATTTTCAATATGGCTCCCTCAATTTCTAATGCACACACGTGCTCTTCTTATGACAGCTGATTTTACTACTGCCGAATTCCTAAGAGAGGCTTGAATTTTCATCGATTCGGAAACAGTTTCTGAATCGATGGAACGGTAGACGCGGACCAATCCCATGGCCAGCACGCAGTCCCGATTTCACACCTATGGGACTTTTTTGTGTGGGGTCGCATGAAAACTTCAGTATACTCTGATCAAAATCCTGTACCCACATTAGAAGACCTCAGAAACAGGTTAAAACATGCAGCACAAGAAATTCAAGCCTCTCTTAGGAATTCGGCGGTAGTAAAATCAGCTGTCATAAGAAGAGCACGTGTGTGCATTAGAAATAGAGGGCGCCATATTGAAAATGTATCATAAAAATAAAAAAATGTAGTTTCAGACAAATTATCCTGTATTAAGGTATGATTTTGTAAGTGTAGTATTTTTATTGCTTTTTCCTTCCTCCTCTTATAATAGTCATATTTTTGCCAATTCTTAATCGATTTGTGATTTTTATACCTCATTTGTAAGGTAATGAAACGTAGATGTTTTCTAATTATTTTGTACGAAAAATTTGTATGCGCCTTTTTCTAGTAAACTGAAGCTTTTGAGATGTACGAAGATTTTTTTAACAAAAATCGAACTGCATGAGATAACGTCAATAATGTACATTTGAGTAACAAATTTTCGTATTATAGAATATTTTTATTATAAAACAAAAAAGAATCAAATGAAACACCCAATTTTCAATTTTATTACTTGGTTAACGTAAAGGACGTTAATTTTATAAAATCTTAAAAATTAGTATAATTCGAAAACGGCTAATTTTCGGACAGTCTATAGTAAAATCGACTCAGATTGGCTTGTACTATCTCCCCCCACCGGCTCCGCATCTATTTTCCCGTCACCCTGTATACATTCAAAACCAGTAGTTAAAATCTCTGATATAGTATATGGAACAAGTTGTAGGAGATATTGCTCAACACAACCCTTAAAGCTATTTAATTCAAGACATTCCTTAATTATGATGCAAAAAATCTGTTTAGCCGTCTGAATTCGTGGGTTACGTGAACATTAAATATATACTTGCTTGTATTACTATGTATAAGATAACCTTGGACTTACCGTTCTACCTCCGCTAGCTCCAGCTGCAGAACCTCCGTTCCTCCCGCAGCTAACTTCACACCTAGCGACAGCAAGAGCGTCATGTCTCCAGTACATTCCCTTCAGCCCCCCGCTGCCACTTCTGGCTGCTTCTACTGCTGCAATCCACATCAACACCCCCAGCCTCCATATGCCACCCCTCGAAAGAGCGCCCATGAGAAAACCTCGTAGAAAAAATCGACCGTCGAAAGTCGCTGATATGAAAACAATCCCGAAAACCCTCACCAGAAAGCACCCCTGGCCGCTTCTCAAAAACCACCGCCGAAAAACACCACCCGGCAAAGCTCCCCTGATGGCGCGAAAGTACTTCGCTTCCAGCAGGCCAATTCGCGAGCGCGGACTTTGCTTGTTTGCGCTTCGGAGACCGATCGGCTTCGCGTTAGGACTGACAGCAGGACTCAACGCGATATCCGTGGCCGCGCGTCTAGGCCCCATTTTGACGGGGTAACCGGGGCGGAGCACCTCACAGTACCTGTACAGACGACTCGGGTGACAAGCTATTAGAACGGAATAAAATATTTCTCAAAATGCGCATACGTCAACCAAATGTGAGCGCAAGGTCTTGTATACCGAAGTCGCCTAAATACTAGGGCACCGCAGTTGCTATAGGAAGCTTGAAGACACTTTGTTTGACCTATGGTTAGTAGAACTGGAATAAACCTCTTCAGGCCGATTGTTCCACAATATCGACACCCTGACGACAAAGGGGCGGTCGTACCGGCCAGCTTTTGAGTCACGAAATTCGACACGGTTAAGATGGGAGGCGGAGAAGAGCTGTGAGGAGCAAAGCCCATTGACATGACGATAGAAGAAAGCCAGGTCGTCGACGGCCCGTCGGTGCCAAAGGATTCCGAGACTGTCCGTTAAAGAAGAGTCATCGACCTGTCAGACGTCTGTTACTAGAACTAAGAAAAGCCTCCTCACGCTTCAACAATCTCTGTTACCAAAGCGACAAAGGAGCGGTTAGGATAGAAGGCGGGTCTACCTCTTTACGCGGCGGCATGAGGAGCAAAGCCCGTTGATATAGCGGTAGATCGCCAACCACCCGTTGGTGCGAAAGGGTCCCGAGACTGTCCGTTGAAGAAGAGTAATCGATCTGCGGGACAGCCATCCTCCGATGAGCATCGAGCATGGATAATGTAGTCGGGACGGCAGCACCTCTAATATGTGAGCAGTACTTGAGGCTAGGCCTTATCTGGGCCTTATACAGAGTAAAGAGGCTATGTGGAGAAAAATACTTTTTAGCCATAAGCCTAGCCTAGCTTTTTGGCATCAGCTTCCGCGATTGACAAGAAACGTTCGTGTCAGATAAATTTCTCGGTGATCTGGGCTCCGACCAGCCAAAATGAACGGCTCTTCGGTAGAACTCGGCCATTCATCTAAGCATGATAGGCGTCAGAGCGCTTCTTGTTAGTCAAGATACAGTACTGTATTTTGGAAGCATTAAAGTATATCAGATTGTTGCGTCCCCAAGCAGTAATAACCTTCGTATCTCTCTTCAAGGAGGAAGTCGCTACTAGTCTCCCTTACAGCTCACCGACAGAGATTGGCTTGTCAATCTGAATCGTTGCATGTAGAGCGCTGTCATCGGCAAATCTATGAATTGGATTAATCGTACAGGAAAGGAGGTCTTTGATATGTAATACAAACAATACCAAGAGCGATCCCTGGGGAACAGCCGCGTTGACATTGTGGGATAAAGAGAAGAACCCGCCAGAGAATAACAACGATAATTTTTATTGCCCTTTTTAAAGGTAATGATTGAGAGTTAAAACAAAGACAAAGCTCTGTGCGTTCTCATAAACGCTTGTGAAACGGTATTTCAATAATAGATAAATACTAAAGGCGGAAGCCACATGATTTATAAGATCCATGTAATTCAAGAACAACCCTTAAAAGGAAACAATTATGAAATGAGGGATGGGCCAACTTCTTTTTGACAAGAAAACTTAAGTGAAGAGAGAGAAAGAGAAGTCAGACACCCATTTGCAAAGTTTGTCTAAGAGGGCAGCATGGCCACAGCTAATCGGAGGTTTTAGTGATATCAAGAGGAACGTAATGAGCCTCATCATATAATAAAGCTCCCGATTTATGCACCTCTCCGTCCTCTTACTCATAATGAAAAGCAGAGCTATAGGCCTGAATCTTTAAAGGTCGGTCTTAGATTCTTTTTTTTTGAGAAGCGCTGGATATGAGAAAATATCCAGTTTTCTGAAAAAAGTACCTGATTCGTAAGATAGCGTAAGACCTGGAGCAAGCTCTGCTGCACATATCTCCAGCCCAACAGCAGGAATCACGTCTGGTTCGAGTACAAGAGCATTCGTCTAAGGCGATTATGACTAAAGGTTACTTCCTGAATAGTGAGGAGAATCGTTTTAATCGACGGCACTCGTTCCCTTCAATCCGCTTGGTCAGCGTCCAGAAAGACCTACTGCGTTAAAAATAATGGAAAAGCGTTGAAAGTTTGTACATGGCTGAAGCAACACCCTCGCTTAAAAAATAATCTGAAAACTAAGAAATGTTTACTCTGATAAAAATGGCGTCGAGTAGGTTGACTCTGCACTTCCAACGCAGCGCCGCCATCAATTTATACAGGATCAGGCCGTCTGGCACCGTTGCCGCTTCCCATAATCGTCAGACGCGGCAGCGCTCACCGAAGTACCGCCGCAGTACAAGGAGAACAATCAAGCAGACCGCTGAGCCCAGATAGCAGAAGGAGACGCGTATCGAAAATATTTCTATCTCATTCTAAGTTTTAAAAACAAATCCACTGTTAAACCTATGATCTATGAAAGCGTATGAATATACAAACAAATTTCTCTGTGCCTATACTCTGTACGTGACCTTTGAAATTAGGAATCCTTCCTGATTTGATTAAAACAGATAACGGTGGGGCGGATGAGCTAGTGAGATCTAGGGTCCGACTAAGCTTCGGTCTAAGTATACTGCCTTGAAGACTCGTCAAAAATGGCGTCAAGTGGGTTGACTGTGCATTTCTTACGCAACGTTGTCATCAGTTCATAACAGATTGAGTTCAGCGCAATTAAAATCCTCTGAGAAAATATTGAGTTATCGATATCTAGAACAGAGAAGTTAAACGTATTAAATCAGTCAAACAGGCATTATTTCCCTGTCCTACTCGTAGTTATCGACCATGTGGCAACGTTGTCCTTTCCGCATCTGCGCGGCATCTCTGCAGCGAATTATCCTTCGGTTCGTGCGAGCTCAGTATTTTTTTTTTTCGACTTTAGTACGAATACATCATTCCAATTTATAAAGGCAAATGTACGGATAAATCTATGATGTGTGAAATATGGCTAATAGGTGCACAGAATTGCCGGGGTTGAGAGCGCATAAATATACCAAGATCTAAAAGAACTCATATACCCTCCCCCAAACCCTACGACTGTCAACTCCTACAAAAAGCTTTCTGAAACTGAGTAGGGCCTTCTAAAACGTCGAAATCGAAGTTTGAGCGATTTTTATGTCTTATCTTTTTTGGTGGTAGTAACATTGTGTGAAATTTTCATCAAAATTCGAGCGGTACTTCTCAGGTTATATGCGGTTATAAAATTACCGGACAGACCGACAGACAGACAGGCAAACTGAAATGAATAACATGGTTTTTCATGATGTACATCTGAATTTTTCGTGATTACAAAACTTCCTCGCCAGTTTTGGCATAGGAAGTAAATATTGCAGAGCTTGGCTGGAAAATTCTGTGGTATTCGCTATACTCTCGACATACCCCGATGATCACCTATTTTTGTCGTTAAGGGATTTTTTGTCGAGTAAAAAATTCAAAAACCTCAGACTGTGTTTTACAAGCACTGAATTAATTTCTTGACTTAGAGATAATGCGTTTTATGAAAATTAAATATACCGATAGCCACCATGAGCCTTATGTTTTTCGTCAAAGTTTGTCCAAATTATGAAAGAAATTTTTTTTTTATTTGACCTAAAAAGGACCGGTTTACCCAATAAGTTACTACTTTAATTCGGGAATAATTTAAGAAAAAAGAGCGGATCATCCTGTACGAATAGGTTCCTTTTCTAAAGACGCAAAATATAGGTCATAAAATTGGTGAGATGACTGATTTACGCATGAATATGTTCGTGTAACACTTGAATTAGAAACACTCCAGTAACGCTATTGTATTTCAAACGCCATTAAGTTGTTTGTGCGAGACATTTTGACAAAACAAAGTTTTAAAAATCATGTTTATGGGTATATAACTGATTTATAAGTGAAAGCGGCGTGACATGACCTATGACTCGAACACTTATTGTTCTGCATATTAGTTGTTGCTCTCAATACATAATGAGCGATTATAGCTCATAACATAAAGCATCTTTCCTTTTTTACAAATTGAACGCATTGAGTTACCGCTTAAATCAAATCAGCCAGTCGAGCCAGTTCTGTTCAACTATGATGAGATAGCCCAAAAAATGATAAAGTATCCAAAGCCAGAACCCCACTTTGCTATTGATTGAAAGAACACGAAAAATTTATATTTTAAAAGCAAACAACGTTTTTTTTAAACCAAACGGGATGCTTTCCTCCGTCCGATCAAAAACTTTCTGGATCATAAAGGAACTTTTTCGGAACCTAAATTTTAGAGGAAGTTTTCGGAACTTTTTGGAAAGAAGTGTTTATTTTCCAGATTTTTAAAAAACTACGTACTATCGACGTCAGCCAACCATGGACAGCTGCTTTGTAATTTTAAGCATAATTCATTTTACTTTTTCATACATACAAAAAGAGAATTATTAAATGTCATTTCCAAAAACCTTACATACCCATTTGAAAATACGGTATCAAAATCGGACCTAGTGAAAATGGTCAATCATCGATTAAGACATAATTCCTAAGTAAGCTTAGAGAATACATGTGAAACAGACATTGAGTCGCGCGAGTATTAGCGACCAAAATTGAAGACGTACACTCCTTTTCTTGCTTTATATCTTCTTCCATTCTGTCTACTCATTCAAAGAAGCTTCAACATCTTTAGTCAGTTCCTTTTATTAGTTTTTCTCATTCTCCTGTTCGAGCTTGACAAGGAATTTCAAAGAATAGTGGACTCTGGCAACCGGAAGGTGTCCGGTTTACAGACCAAAAACTTGTTTGGCCAATAAAATTTCATTCAAACATCTGAATGAGCCGATTTCATGAAATATACAAATCTTGTTCCTCTATTAAAACACAAAATGGTAGACGCACAAGCTACTATTTACACTTGTAAATAATGGAATATTAGGGAAATACTGTTTACTGACGACGGTGGGCAATATATTTCCATCAGAATTGTCATTTGTAGGTCAACTAAACGTTGTCAGTAAACAGCATTTCAAGCATATGTGGTTTCATTTAGCGGCCTTGCAAACATGGAGGATTAACTGATGGTAGAGTATACACATTGCGTGACATTGACATTGATTATTAATCTGTTCCACCAAAAAATACGCAATTCAGTTGAGCCGTATCTAAG